CCCCAAAACCCCAAAACCCCAAAACCCCTTTTGATGATTTAGTAATAGAAAAACTTTAAAACACCTTGTATTAAAAACTAGTCTAGTTCTTTTATATATTTCAAATATTCCTAATAATTTTCCTTTGTCTTAAGACTCCTAGCTTTGAGGATAGAAGTAAAGTGTGAATTTTCCTGCTCAAAAATATGCTAATTTTCATACAAAACAGAAGTTTACCAAGAAATCTTAACTTTCGAGACTCAAATAATCACTTCGGTGAGTCCCAAAAGAAGCCTCCTCCAATCTTTCACCCCTACAACAATCCCTACCCACCTCACTCCCAAAACTTAACCCACCTCCACTTCCCTCCAAATCTTCTCAAAAATTTCCTCCAATCCAAATTACCTTACTCCTAACAATCCCAAACGCACTCCTTCCCAGAATTCCTTAGCCTACCCTTTCTGCCTGCACAAATCCTGCTCTAAGAACCAGCCCTAGCGTAAACTAAGCCCTTGACAGTCTCTTCTATTCTGCTGCTCTTCAGGAGTTGATGACTCTCTGGTAGAGATCACCAGATTTAAAACTCGAGGAAAGTTTTGAATATATAACCATGAATTTCCGATTATTATTGATCACGGAAACGGTGAAGACCCAGCTAAATTTGAATTCTGTTAACAAAGCTTCTGAATTAGCTTATAGACATAAAACAAAATCTGTTAAACTTTGTAGTGCACACTTTGAAGATTTATGAGAAAATTTAGCCTACTGGTACCACCTGAAGTTTAATACTTTTTGAATGATTACTTTTGTATAAAGAGCTTATGTTGAAATTTGCAGATGAACGGTTTGGGTTATATAGAAGACTGATTAGGACTCTATGGACGCTTGGAGGATCTTTAGGCCGTAGAGTTAGCATATATACTAAACTGCAAAGCCCATAGGTTGATATTATTAATAAATTCTCGATATATTAATAAGCTACTTGGAATTCCAAAATTTTAAGCAGAAACAGCACTCTTTTTGGACGGTATAATTTGCTTATTTCTTCCAAAATTTGTTAGCTCCATTAATAATTTCCTGACATACATCATAATAATACAGCGAACTTAACATAAGGAGTATTATGCTTGCTTACATGGAGGTTGACATCGAAATAATAATCCCAATTAAAAGTTTCTTTTAGAAATCTGAGGTTGATAAATCATAAAATCTAAGTAATCCAAATTTTAAGCTATTGCAAAGATGGTTAAAAGTTGAATGTAAAGTTCAGGTTTATCATAAATGATTATTAGTAATAATTACTGAAATTATAATAGATCTCTTGAGCACATTTTTGGTAGAGATCTCTCTTATCACTTGGACACCCATCCAAGAAGTCTTCAAGTCCATTACTTATGAAGTAATGGAATAACATTCTTATGTTTGAGTCACCGTAGAGACCTCCAAGTTTACTGTGTGAGTATTTTGTAAGGATCTCATCCATTAGCAATATCGACTTATTATTAACATCGAAGAGAGACTTGGTCTTCTTGGTGTTTTTGCTCATGGCCATCCAGCAAAGGAACTCGCTGAAGTCTCCGATTTGTTCACCTTGTTCTGAGTTAATAATATTGAGCCTTTGGGCTTCACGAATCATTTCTAGTTTGAACGAGGTGTCTCCATTCCTAAGTCTGCAAGGTCTTATTCTAATTGAGTCGAACAATTTGACGATGCATTTCTTAAACCCTCTCAAGATTCTTTTATGAATTACGTCTTTCCGAAGAGAAAGTTCAGTGACTCCAGAACTTCTCATAGAAGAGCCTAGAAGGCAATCAACCATCATTGTATAGTTTCTCATCTTTATTGCTTTTGGGGATGAGCTAGTTGATAAAGGAATCTTCTCTTGATTTTTCACCTTTAATATATTTCTGAAATTTTGGAAATTTGAGCTGGATGATTTAGAAATATCCACTTTATGTTTTGGATCTTCTTTTGAGTTCAAATTTTTTCTCAAACCAAAATCATAAAATTCCTTCTCTTCAGCATTCTCCAAATCTCTCTCTTCAAAAAGAGAGCTCTCCTGCTGCTCATTACAGCCCCATTCATCCTTTCCCACTCCTGTCAACCATGCTTTCCCCTCTTCCTTCTCCATTTCTTCTTGACTTCCTCAAATCTCTTCCTCATATCTCTCTTCGAGTCCCCAAACCCCCTTAAAGGTCTGTCCTACCCCGAACACCTCTTCTACTTCAAAATCTCCTGGTTGTAATAAGTCCATTTCTCGTTTTCAATTATTCCTATTCCGGCTGGGGTTTTGGGGTTTTGGGGTTTTGGGG